TCCATTAGCATATTTTAATTAATTTAATTACAGTCTTAAGATCAACAGAATGCAATGAAAGAGTTTGCATTCGTTGGAAAAATATCTTAGAAACAAAAGAACTGCAGAAGGCGGAGAGAAACAAAATGAGATGCTATTGTCGGTTGGTCGCGGCTGTTTACGAGCTCGAGCGTACGAGAAGGAACTTCACGTGAGGTAAAAGCAGGAATTTACCAAAAGGACGTGTGTCACGGTTATGGCCCCGGTTTTGCGTCGAACAGTAAAACTGGAAGCAGCTTCTGGCGAAGCTCGAATCCGTTCTTCGGCGGCTGCAGTTTTGGTGGCACGTCAGCCGGTACAATGAAGCCAGTCGTTTCACGTTTACGCGTATTTGCATGAACGCCCATTTGCATAGAAGGCGTCCACGTTACACGCACGTTAAATAAAGTTAAGCTCGCTGTATTCTATTGTGCTACGTGCGAGATCGTTTTTATAAATTTCATTCCCACTATCTACATATATTAATTGTTTAAATACGATGGTGAAGAGAAGAGACTAATGATTATGGCAGCGTGCAACTTTTTGCCTAATCGGAACGGTAATTGATTTTTTTATACTTTTATCAGTTCATGTATTTCTAAGAAAACTCGCGTTAAAATGAAAATCGACTATCGCTGAACGACGAGAGTCTATCACAGCGCGTACAACATTTACGACGGCACGAGTAATTGGATGCGATAAAGAACCATTGTTTCAAACGCGTTGCTCGGGGGAGTACGCTCAGGCCTCGTAAGTTTTCTCGGACATGACGTCTCATTTCTTAGAGCAATGCTAGACGAAACATTGAACTCTGCGCTCGAGCGCCAACATAAATCGCGCCAGGGGTTGATAGAGAACAAGTTAACAGCTCGAGGAAAAAGTTTAATATGGTTCAAGCAAAGAAACCGGTAAACGGTGTTTGTGTCAATGAATGAGAATAGATATATCAATTAGAGGCACAATTTATCATTCCAGGCAATTTGCCAATACTCTTCTTGTAAACAGTACTTCATTATAAAACTTAATTAGTGACTGCAAATGAAGTCTGGATTTTAATGATAAAATATGTATTATACAATGAATATACAAAGAATATTCTCTGTTCAATATTAATTAATGCAATCATCGAATTTCACTGTAGCTATAATAGAAGATGTGAGACCTCCAGAAGAATTAATCAGTAAGTACTAATCACCGACGATAGACAAGCACATCTCGAGTAAGGCTAACAGCTCGCTAAAAATTGATAATCATCGCGGGCGAGTTAATGGGCCTGTCGTTACGCGGGTCCCTCGGTAACACCTGCTACGAAAACTTCTGCTAATTACCACAGCATAATTCAGAAGAGCAGCACCCCACCAAGCCAGGGCGAGTCGAGCTCGGGACCGTTTCTCCGGTGCCGCCAAAGTGGTCCCGTTTCGTCATTCATCAAGCCCTGCGAGATTTACATCCCCCCACCCCCGCCGAGGCCCCGATACACCGGGGCCCGTGAGGACATATCCACAAGCGCGTGCAACGCACACACCCGCAGAACTTAGGCGGGAACCGTGGCGCAGCGTACGTGCGGCCCTCGGACACCTCTTCATGACGTCACTCAGGCCGCGGGGCCCGACGGGATTACAGACAAGATCAAAAGGAGCCGACCGCCGTCGCCGACTCGGTCTCTCTCCTCTTCGTTGCTCGCTCCTCGCTCTCCAGAGCTACTCTGCCTTCAGCAGGCGCGAGGAGAGTCGCGTCTGGGCCCGAAACGGGCTCTCAGGAGAGAGAGCCTGGTACCAGGGTGGCCCCAGTTTCAGCGACAATACGCGAAATTTAACTGCTGACCTCAATTTGAACGCTCTTAGATATTGGCATGAAACAATGAATTAATTCAAAACCGATGGAATCTAGTAATTATCATATTATTATTGATGTATTAGAAGCTATGTAAACAAATTATGCACATTACAATTATTATGCACATTACACAGAGTGGCGTCATAAGAGATTTCTTCTTAACATATTATTTTCAAATATTTTACTAATCATTAAAATCGCTAGTGACGAGAACAGGAATGTAAAATTCTTTATTACCTAGCCTCCGGTTTTATACTGGTTCCGAACGCACTTTTATAGACATCAGCAGTCTTAACTCGAATCACGAATGCGTTTGTTCGACAATCGACCGTGCGAATAGACGTTTTCATTCTTCAACGTTTATTATAGTATTTCTCGCACGCGAATAATTCCACGCATCCCAAACGATCTGTTTGTCTCTAAGTACCTAGCGCAGTGCATTCGTGGAAATTGTTATTCGCGGGTTAAATAAAGCGATCGGCGAAACAATTGTGTGAGAAACTATTAGGGAGATAATTCTCATAGTTATCAAGTTGACGCGTTATAGAGATGCAAACCTGGATGAATCAGTCTTTATTGCAGACGTAATTGTATCTCTTCTTATTCGCGATGCCTGTTAGAATTTTTCAAACACTGAACCGGCTTTAAGTAATGGTTTTAAAAGTCGATTTACATTGGCTGGCTTCCTTTATGTCAATGCACGTCGTTACGAAACGAAATCCACGTAACATTTTATTACAGAATTAGACATTCCAATAATTAGACTAATATCCAAATGGAAAAATGTTTGTAGCTCATTAACATGCTTGAAAAGTCTGCGCCTCGCCGCTGTGGCCGTGAGACCACCCCGTTGCCCGATAGAGATAAAAGAGGCTCGCCGATCTGTGTTGGAAAATAATTTTCAGCATGAATTATTGATAACAGGTAATTGATTGTAAGCGATCACGCTAATATACATGATCGTCCCGATACGAGGCTTCCCCGATTTAAATTCGCTCGGCGCGACTCGCGTGATTAAAATTTACCCTCCGGGAGCAACGCTGCCCTTATAATCGCGGTTCTGTTTGCTAGAGATCATTTGGCTAGCACGTGCTTTATTGATCAAATTTCCATACGAAAAAATTAAACAATTTTTCGTCAATAATAAAATCTAGATTGATAGTCCTTTTCTTTGTGTTTTAAATTATGTTACAAAATACATCTGATTTGATAAAATTTGTGGGAGAAATATGTTGGCAAATAAATTATTCTTAACTACGGTTTATGACGGGTAAAGCTTTATTTAAACGACTTCTAAAAGTGCAACAAATTTTATAACCGAAGTTCTTACGAGCCTGGCAGATTATCGCCAACTAACTGCTTCAACGCCCTGACAGTTTTTTTCTTTTGTATGAAACAAATACAGAAGGCTTATCTCTCCTGGAAAAACTGCCAAGGGACAAAAGCAGAACCCTGCCATAAAAAATAATCTTAACAAAAATATGGCAGTGACAAAGTCGCTACAAAATTAACGAAATTTATATCTTCCACATTTAAACGAAATTTTAAAGTATTCCTAAATAAATATTACACGTACTGCAGCTCATCGAACTGCAGCTTAAATCATTTAATGGATTGTAAATCCTAATGAAGACCGGTTCAATTTTCTAAAATGAGCGTTTGTTAACTGTCTCAGTCGCGCGACCGGGAATCAATGATCAATCCCGTTCGTTTGGTATAGCATTGGATGAAGTCCGCATGATAAATGAGGAATTGCGCAAACAATTGGTCCGCCGGGGTCGAACGTGTCTCGGGGTCCGTTGGCGGCCCGATGAAAAGCCACGAGGCCGGGAGAAGAAGGAAGAAGATAGTCGGCCCGGCCGCGTACCTGAGTGGGAGTATCCGCATGTACCGGGGGGGATGCATGTACTTAACGTTCGGTGTGAGTTCCGAGTTGCGAGGGCTTCAATCAACGTGCCGTCGCCCGAGGCCTATCCGATATCAGACATTAGGCCCCGGCTACGTACCTACTTTAACTCTTTCACGTTCCGACGCCCACGAGCGCGGCCTGGCTTCAACCGCGGACGAGCCGAACTTCCACGGTTCTCAATGATCCTGACCCCCACAGAAACGACTATGTCAGAAATGTTTAGTGCCTCTTAATATCATACTGCGACCGTGTATCTGTCGTGTAAACAAAAAATTCCGGCTCCCATGCAATTCTGAATGCAACACGATTGTCTCCTTCAAAATATAAACTATTGTTTGTTCGATGCTGAAGATACGAAATATTTCAGTAAAGAGATGCGTCCCTGGGGAACGTAACAGTCTCAATACCAGATGTTAGGAGGTTGACCTGCAAACGTGGCCGTGATCCTTCCTTACAAGTTTGCCCATTGATTTGAGAAAAAAAGGAAACTTGTTACCCAGAATATTTTCAGTCGTGCTCCTAGAAAAAATATTCAGAAGCTACTAAATACGTTGAAATTAGAGGGTGATAATTGCCTATTGAGATTTTGTAAGAGTTTTTGGTTGTATTGGGTTGCCCGGAAAGATCCTGTCCATTTTTAGTAAGTGGCATTGGGTCAGGTTTCAATATATTAGAATGATTCAAAACGGATGACATGTGTATAGATTCTAAGAGATGATATTTTAGGCATCTTTAGAGGAAGTCATTATTCAATGAAATTATGCAGATATTCAATAAAATAAGTATTGCAAGGCGAAACTAAAATCGTTGTTACCTAGCTCTGGCTTTTGAGCAGTTCCAGAGATTATTCTGAACAAAATAAGAAACAGAACGCCTTATAATTGTTTAACGCGTTAAACTTAACATCAAAACGAATTTTGATTCTCTGAGAAGTAAGTACGTAGTATAGCGTAAACGCATATTTTCCATACCTTCAGGGATGTAGTCTTCAAGCTGCATGAAGGATGGAGAAAGACTGTTTCTCTCTGTTGGACTGTTTAATAGTATCGATAAATACTTTGTGTATAGCAGAAAGAAGATTAAAGAATTTAGTTCCTTTAGATTAAATCTAGAGAAAGTTAGTTTAGCACTGGGGAATGCCATATAAAGTTTATGGTAACACATAAAACAGGAAATGATTATGTACTTCATTACACCTTGTAATATGTTTGCATATACACTTTATTAAATGTTTTACGTACGTTAATATTTTGTGGAATACTTGGCGCATTATCATGTGCTTTCTATACATATGTACATCTATGATTCTCCAGTATAAATAGCTAGTGAGTTGCTGAAATTGGCCACGTTCAATTGCTTTTAAACTAAGTTACTCAACGCGAGCGCACGTTTCGTATAAAGCCTGCATGATTTGCCAAACGGAACCACTTAGATCTTTCAATGACTACATTCTCCGACGTGAGGAATACATAATGCAGTTTTCTTCGCGCGGCGTTCATGGTTATCAGAATGTGATATTGAAATCGTCGTAAAAAGTTGAAAGCTAATATGACAATATGTAAAAGGATAACGCATCAGTAAGTACAATGGCCGTAGTCAGTTAACAACTTTTTTACTTTCCCTCGTATAATCTTTTTAGAGAATCCATTCAGAAACTGATGGGAAATAAATAGCTTGCTGTGAAGTGTAGAATATCTTGCTTCAACTCCAAGGAAAAACAAATAACCGTTTAGGTTTTTTATTCAAGAAAAATTAGTAACGAGAGCATTGTTTCAAGAATAAAACGAAGAAGTACATTGTACATTTGAAGTCAATTTAGATTAATAAAAGCTGATATTAAAAACTGACAGAAACAATAGTGATCAATAATACATTCATATTTTCTTCTATACTTTGAATGAAGTCCGTCTTTCCAGCCTTTAACGGGAAGGAAGGTGTAGGTAGGCTGTTTCCAAATTAATTTCGCGAATCAAACGGTTTACGTAACGCGAAGATGAAGCGCGTTCGCAGAAGGTCACTCAAGGCATGAAAGGAAAAAAAAAACGTAAGTACGAACCGCGTTTAATGGGTAGAGAATAATTCACCTGAAGCGCATCGTAAAGCCATTAACATCGGCTGTAAAAGTCTCTGATGCGCTTTGAAGAGAAGAAGACCGGCGTCGGTACATGAAAGAGCAACGATAATCCCGTTTACGTTATTCGCAATATTTGCGATATCTGTTTTCCGCTGATCAGCCAAAAATGCAACTAAATGTGCTTAACTCCAAAATACGTGCAAGCGCCGTTTCACGATTGCCACGTCTTAAAGTATAATTAATTCGCATAAGGAGTGTTTATGCATAATTTCATGAAACCAACTAAAGCAATAAGCAATTATATATTGTAATATTATGCTAAGTACTTATTAGTTTCGTGCGTTAAATTATATGTAATACGAATTTACTGACCCAAGCATTGTGTCGAACAATATTAAAAATAGAACAATTGGTTATTATAAAAAAATGAAATACTAAACGTTTTTACTACTGTAAGCTGTTTTTTGCTAATGTAACTGTTATACATGTTTGACAATAGGAAATAGCTTATTGTTAATTCTCACTGATGTCGGATAGTCTTACGTGCGACTAGCGACGGTATGAGATCATACCATACAAAGTACTGTACACAAATTGTATATTGTGTACACCTTCATTAAAATTGTCTTCTCTTTATTAGTTATCAAATTTGTATAAAGAGACAAGCTATGATTTGTTTAAAATAGACTATTTATATTGTAATTAAAATCGAATCACAGATTTTAAATAACTTCTATGCACTTGGTTGAATTCAATTTCTGATTTTAAAACTAATTCCATTTAGATTTAGAGTATTCAGGAGACTTTTTAAAAACTGTAAAGAAAATATGAATGCCAAATGTTCTGTCTATGAAAGGAGGTAAAAATTACAGATTTTCTTGAATCTACATATAAAGTTATTTACATAGACAAACAAATGAGACACATAATTACCTTGAAAAGGATATCCAGTGAAATACGGTGCCATATTCAGGGTGCTGACTGCCATCTAGCTGATGTTGTCCCCCAAGAATTTTCAATCACCAAGCCACCACAAAAAACGATATTTTCCAACTAAATTAAGATTTCCTCTTTCTGTCTTTCTTCTGTACAGTCCCGTTTAATTCACTTAACACAGAGGGAGCCAGAATGCGCGGACACGAGCTCGGGATGTCCCCGGAGACGAACCAGAGGAGGACCGTCGCGAAACGCAGAATCCGATCAGCGGAACGGAAACGGAGGTTTTTTCCCGGATGATCAGGCGAGACGGTCGTGAGACCTGTTTGGTTCGGGGTCTCGGCTCGAACTGTTCGGTTCCCGATTCGTACGGAGGCTGGCGGCAAGGGAGGCTGAAGAAAAAGAAAGGTAAAAAGAAGCCAGGTAAACGAACACAAGAGGGCAAAGGAGGCTCCGCCTTCGTCCCGGGGCCTTCGTCTCGAAGTGGGAAACTTGTCTGGGTCCAGGTAGCAGCTCGATGGCTTTGCCAGCGTGGAGTATTGGTCACCTGGAAGGTGACCCCGCGAAGGCGGAGGTGGTCTCTTCGGTGACTCCGCCCGACCTTCTCCTTTCCTTTCCCGGCGCAGGCTTGCTCTCCACGCGTCTCGCCTTTGATGTCCGACCGCCGAATGCGATCATGCTCTGCGGTGAAATGTTCGAAAATTCAATCTTGAAGTTTCCTGTGTTCCTCGTGCTCGTGAAATCGGAAATAAATGGCCCTTTAACAGGATCTCGTGATCTCTGAGAATTAGAGCTTAATAATAAATTAACTTAGTACCAAACCAGTGATCTTTTGTAATTACATAATGACAGAACTTCGAATCTAGTAAATTAATCATGGAATCCTTAAATAATTTGTCGAAGTAGTTGTCTTCAGGAGAGGAGGATTAAAAAGGCTCAAGTTCGTTTGGCTAGGAGCTTCCGATTAATCACAATGGCAGACCTAACAAGATAATCCTGATAAAAGCTGCATCGCGTGATTCGGCAAAGAGATCGCATAAAACTCGGTTACGTACTCTTCACACGTTCATCATTTTAGGATTTATGATTGCTAATTGAAATTAAGCATATCTAAAGAGTAATCGTAGTAATAAAAAATTCTGTCCACTACCCTTTAAAACAATTTATTGCACAACATTACTAATTCACAGGGTATTAAGCTTTCTTGCTAGGAATTCAATTTAATCGCTCGAAATCAACTCTGCCTTCGCAAATCGCTATCATCTGTTCATCTTTCCTTCCAAGAATCATGAGAAATTTTTTCCAACCACAAACAAACGAAGGAAGTAACGATTAATCATATTTTTATTTCAGCACATTTAAAGGGTAAGACTCCAATTTTTTATCAGACCCAAAACTTCTTCTCGCAGAATACAATGGTCGATATAAGCCCGGGATGATCACGTGACACATTTTAATATGTCAATGATCAATCTTTTTCATCCTCTCTGCGAACGTCGGGGCGTCTCGAGTCGATTCCCCGCTGCGACGAAGTCATCGTCTTTGATTCGCGTGTAATCACCTTGGAGATTAGCCGAAAAGTAAGCTGGAATCAAGCTGGACGAGCGTCGTAATCGAACACAATGGCCCCTACGACGATGCACCTCGATATCTTGTCCGTGTCTCCATTAATATCGTGCCGATAATAATTGTACATCAATAATCATCATGCGAGTGTGATTTATCGAGTCCATTAATGTTCGAGTAACATATTCATTATATACAGAAGCAATTATTCGATTGAATGACTGTTATCAAATAGATAAATGTTAATTTCTATCATTTCTATTGATTACGTCTTATTACCTACTTTCTGCCAGTAATCATCGTGTACATCGTAATTAGAAAAATAGTATCAAATATTCTACAACACAGAGCTAACAAATATTCTATTAAAATATTATAAAGGTACTCAAAGTGTGCAATCTTTAATTCATAAATAGCAGTCGGTAATTGATGGTACAATCGAAAGAATGTTTAGAAAGAGGGTTTACTTGGCTTTAAATATTCATCAAATCGAACAAATTAAATATTCTCTTTTATTCTTAATCACCCAGTGACATAAACATGGATCTAAGCCTGAAGAATAAGTTATAGTATGTTAGGGGCTGAGACCGAAGTCAAGCTTACGTGCAGTGAGTGAATATTTGAAGTCGATTTTCTCAGAAACAAAGCCACTATACTTTTATCTTATTTTTCGATACAGAATCCCTTTTCGGTTGTAGCACCAGCTGCCATTCTGTATATTAATCTCTTTAACGATCTTTAATAAAATACATCTTGTACTCCGATTATTAATTAAAATTTCCATTATAATGATAAAACATCCAATAACGATTATCGTTAACAACCGAAATTACTGTAATTGCAACATTGTCACGCACGATACGCGATGATCGCAGCTCGAGTTAACCTCCGGTAGGATTTAATCCTTCGCGGCGATCGCCTGTTTACAGGGAGCGCGGGATTCACCGTAGGGATAGCACGTGTCGTGATTGTAGTTTATGGGGAGCTGATTGCGGGAGCGTGGGACGGTTACAAGATTGTGGATGGGCCCCCGTCGCCATTCACCCGGCCGCTCCGCGTCCGCGTTTATACTCCGGTGGCCCCGGCACCGGTGTCAGTGTTTCGTTTCGTAATCATTAAGATATGCATTATCCCTCTAATGACGAGCAGCGGTGTGCAACAGCGTGTCCGATCGAGGACTCCGCGCTTCGTTTCTCGCTCCCGTCCAACGGGGTACATAAATTTCACGTAAAACGCCTGTACACCTTCCTCAGTCTCCGCGCTGATTAAATTCGAACCGCGCCGCGTCCGTTTTTTATATTAATTGTTTCGGTCCCTCCTTTGATTTTTATCTTCTTTATTATTTATTTATTTTAATTGAATGATACTTTCAACCTTAAAAAAAGAGAACCTGACTCACTGTTCATAAGTAAAAGAGAATCAATTAATATATTATAGATTCTAATCATAATTTGACAGAAGATCATCGATACAAAGGGGCAATTTATTTGAATACAGGGTCGTAAGAATGGAAATCTCAGGAGCTAGTTCCATCACACGGATCTTTCAATTCGAACGGTTTGGTCCCAAGAGCGTGGCTCGAACCTAACAAGATGACTTTAAGACACCTGTGGCACAGATGATCAATTGGTCTGTCGGGAATGATCGACAGAGTATTCTCAAGGAAAGCGTCCAAGATCTATGGAATACAAGATGCGTACAAAGAGAAACATATAGTTGAATAAAAACATACACTGAAATGTTCTTACAGTATAAAACAGTTGTGTTATTTTAAAGAATTCTACGTATCCTACATACTTTTAATAGATTTTATTTTTAATTATAAATACAAGTAAAAAGAAAAAAAAGAAAGAAGAGAACACTAAATTAGAATAATGCACTCGATACTTGTACAGTACAGCTACCTAAAATGATTCCCGAGTCACTTAGCATGCACATATGCGGAAATTACATTTTCCTTATGCAGCGTCATGTTTCTTTACAATGACTAGACAAAATAGTTTAAAGAACAACGATTTTATCATTCTCTAAGGAATTAATTTACACCTCTGGGATCTCTAGTTTTAATTTGAGTTGATCAAAATCTGTGTAGTGGAATTTTTACATATGTGCATGCCAAGTGAATCGGAAATCGTACAAATGTTCTTCTCTAAAATTCTTTGTATATGTATACGTATACGTAAATAGACGTACAGTGAATACAGTATCCACCTAAAGGCAAGTTTTTGAAAAATATCCTGGCTGCTAATATTAATCGTCGTCGTGATCACGCCCACGGTTCCTCGTGAGCAAATTGTCCAGAACTAGACTCGAACTGGTAGGAGGGTAAACTGTGTCCAGTGTGCGGCATCGAGAGACTTGTCAAAATACGTCAATGCATGAGTAATAGTGCTGGTCCAGTCTTCCTTCTCGCGTCCGGGACCTCGCCCCGGCGTGAGAAAGGGGTGAATGGACAACAATTAGGTGGATGCGCGTCCCGCGGGAATATCTCCACGACGTCGCGTTCGTTTCTAGAGACACCAAACATTTCAATAAGGAGATGCGTCTCCGGGGAACGCAACAATCTCAATAGCAGATGTTAGAATGTTAGCGTGTAAACGTGGCCGTGAGGTTTTCTTACAAATTCGTCCATTGATTCGAGAAGAAAAGAAAAATTGGTACCCGGAATATTTTTAATTGCGTTCCTAGAAAAATCGTCCACGAACGGATGGACTGCAATTGTAACAAAATAATTAAATACGTGATTCGTATAAAGTTTCTCATATGAAAAACAAATCCAGAAGGAGAATTGATCTATCAGATACATTCACAAACTTCTTCGTTTGTGCTTCTGGATTCGTTTTTGGCATGAGAATCTCTATGAGAATCATGTAGTGGATATTGCCAAATAATGTTGCATCGTACAGTATTATATAAATTAATTTGACACGTGATCAGAGGCATGAAGGATAGAGATCCGGGGGCGGGTTGGATCGTTGAAACGAGTCGTTCCGTGATCGGACCGTCCTTTTCTCTCGAGCGGCGTGGCCAAGCTAATATCTCAATCGTTAAAGCGGTTTTCGTCGGTGCCTCGGCATCCGCCTCTCTATGCTCCGGCTGTGCACACCACGAGAGACCGAGCGTGGCTCCGATAATGTGCGGCCATTTTCATTTACAGGCCACGCAAGCCTTGCACAGGTGAGAGAAGGTGAACGCGCATTGGCAGCTCTGGGTTACTGGCGTACTACCTATACGACCAGATATACGCAGCGCAAGGTAAAAAGAGAGGAGCACAGTCGTCAGAAAAGCACCGGCCATTACGTGTGTTACAGCGGCGGTGTTCGCGCGGCGCGTCAAAGAGCGCTCATTAAATGCTGGCAATTAACTGCGGGCCAAGCTCTTGCCGAGCTTCTCGCTCTTTCCACTCCTTATACACTTACTTACCTTCGGTTCGTTGGACCGAGCCGGCGGTTCTCTCGCGCTTTCCACGCCGTGCCCCGCGGGCTGTAAAAGCGAGCCGGAGTCTTGGGTCCACG